CGTATTAAGCGAAGAAAATTAATGAACCCTTAGCAACTAATAAAATATGAAATAATTTCGCGGTCCTGATTTTAAGTAGTCTCGGGCCGTATGTGGCCCACGAGCCGTCAGTTTGATCAGGCTTCTGCAGGCATATATTTATAAGCATTATTTCGTATTTTATTATGTCTTAATGGGTTTACTCATAGTTTTTGTCTACAACTCTATGAAACTGAAACATGTTGCTGTTTCCTCCCAAAAGAAAGTAAATTAGGAGCAGGTGTGCACTAAACCTAGTGAGGAAACACGGACGTTTTGAAAATTAGTTAACAGTAGCCACACTTTTACGTGCACGCATTCACTTACTGCATAGCAGGTGTTAAGGCTACTATTTCTTATGTTTGACGAAAAGAAACGATTTCGTGTTGTCCCGGACTGACTGCAAGCTCTACCCGTGCAGACATACCAGTTTAATGCGTTAAGTAGTCACGACAGTGACACAGTTGAGCGATATTTTAAGACTTGAGATTAACAGCTGCGCGCTACGGATGGAAATAATGTTAATTATAAGTTAAAGTAGCAATAAGGAAAACATGCGATTATATGCAACATGGAGCATTGCAGTGATAGTGGTCATATGGAGAGACATGTTTGTCAGAGTGCAAACTGCACTTTAAACAAAAAGTGTGTTTCAACAGGTGGTCCGCGATCTGTTGTCGGTGAATGCCTTAACTAGTCGATTCTAGGGTAAAGGTGTATACGTCTTAAATGTTTACGAAACGAAGCTTCTATCCAGTTGCATATTGGTCCAGAACCCGTAACTTTATACAACTGTTAGGTTTACACTACACAGAACCAATTCAGTACGATTCTTAGTTTTACGACTTGTTTAACGACGCTGTTTCTAGCTCAGACTGTAAAATGTCGAATTACAGAATGTTAAATGAACAATGAATTGGAAAGTGTGGAAGACAGTTGTGGCCTGATATCGCAGCATGTGTTCGGAAATTCACGAAGAAACCCCGCCAGGATAGCCGGTCTGCGGGCCGATATTTGAATCTCTGGCCTCCCGAATACGTTACACGAATGGTAGAAGCTTGCTAATGTTTCAGAGGTACTTGCTGCCTTCATCATCAGGGCGATGATGATGGAGGCAGCAGGTACACCTGAAACGTCGATACACTTCTGCCAGATTAAAGGCGCAAATGTAAAAGTGTGAAGATTTCCGTCTTCTGGGTTGTTGCGCTGTGTAGTCTGGTCGATGTTAACCAACGTTTCAGAGGTCGTACTGCCTCCGTCATCAGGGCGATGAATGATATAACCCAGAAGACGGAAATCTTCATACTCACCGTTGTGAGAACCTCAAGTCTTACGTAAAAGTGTGAATTTATAAAGGTTTTTTACCACATTGAAACACATACACTTTATCTGTGGGTGTTGTATGATTCTCAAGCAAACAATCATTTCTCTTAAACAGCATTAGGAAACTGGAGTCTGCAATGTTGACTCGTTGTGTTTCCTTTGAGGTAGAGACTAAATTTTTAAATGTTAATCATATGAGCATTGGCTTCAAAGTAATAAACCCGGCACGTGTCGTTCTTTTTTGCGTACGGGATCTCTTTGTACAAATGCTGTATAAAGAGTATACAATTTAAAATGCAACCCAACAGAAATTACGCACTACTGTAAAAAAATCCATTATTGCACTGTGACGCCACGAATCAAGGTCATACTGGTTGACAGGCCGCTGCTTTCGCCAGATGCGCAAAAGCTGTGCGAGTACGAATGTCGTATATTCACGAGAAGAACGTGTGTTCGTTCATTCATTTTCGAACATTACTTCGCATCGAAATAATTTGCTGTTCTTCGTGAAGTATTTAGCGTATCCTGACAAGAAGTGCACAATCATACGACAATACGTGGACCATGACCAATATTTCGGGGAACAGAGAAGCGTTCTGTGACAAGCACTCATCTTGCGATGTAACAGAAGACATTTTTGTTCTACCGATTTCAAGCAGTGCGTTAGCAGCAACAACGGGACATGTCTACAAGAATTGAAAATTGCCTTTGGTTTCGTTTTTATTTGCGTGAAGGGGTTCATTTACAGTAGACAGGGTTGCGTTATAAATGTAATACCTCTTATTCATATTATTCGTTTGCTGTTCTATTTGCCTTCATTATGCACATGTTGCAGCCAGTTGTGTTGTAGGCTTCAATTTCTCGTGTATCTGCTCTAGGTGGGAGTCTCCCTGCATCCAGACTCGTATCGGTTTCGTGTATATTAAATTAAATCGTAGCTCGACATCATATTGGACTAAACGGCAATACTAACTCTATGGAGCAGAGCTAAAATTTTCTCAGCTGATTAAGAAATGTACACTCTTTTATAAAGCTCAAAATTCATTACCGTGTTCATAATAACTCCTTTCTGGACCGTATTCTGCGGCATGTACTTCCAGTCCACGCCCTCACTTATTATTTCTCGTGGATTCATTTTAATGTTATCCTCACATCTACGTCGACATTGATGGTCCTCCAGCTTGGTGACTGTTCAGGAGCTAAGAGCAACTCACACTAAAATGCCAGCGTGTTACGAGAGCTTTCACAAGTCCTCGGACAAGGTATAATTAATTGCATTCGGCCTGTAAACTTTGTGCCAATGATACAGCTAAGCTAAATGACCTACGGAACAATTAATTAGACGGAAGAAACTCTGAGAACACGAGGTAACATATAAATGCGCAGTAATCCCGTATATCCTATTAATGGCTTTAAACTGTTAAATCAGAGGACGAACGGTTCTTACAGGACAGCTCTGCTGTCTGTTTCACTGACCTGCCAAGTTAAATTTAGCACCGTAAACTTCCTTTCAGTCCATAAAAACAGTTTCATGTTAATTTAAAACGTTGCCCTCAGAGAAAGCAAAACAACAGTGCGCTGATGTTGAGGTATTGATTCCGTAGGATTGTTGATTATGAGCAGCGATGGCTAGCCATCAGACAGTGTAGAGATGCTAAAATTGTTGTCTATCATTCAAGCTATCACTCTTCAAGAAATGATTAAATTAATGAACAAATAAATACATAATAAAGACTCCAGACGCATTAACGGCGTATCGGAGCAAAACGTGTTATAAAACCTAATATGTTACTTAAAAAATGCGACCGAAAACGGAGAGCAGCAGAGGAATGATACTGATGACAAAAGCGGAAGAACTGAAGAAAAACCTGTCCTATTGCCACTTTGTCCACCACAAATCTAACATGGACTGACCTGGGCGCGAACCCGGCCCTTGGTGGTGAGAAGCTAATCACTATCCACCTAAGCTGTAGGCTGTTTACAAGTTTAATTACCCACTGAGTTTTTCTTGTCTGCCTAGACCTCTTTGTGGTTTATTTAACAACGCTTTCAGTAGTTTAGATTATACAGCGTTGAATAATAGGATGATTAGTGAATACTGAATTTGTTCGGATGTGGAAGGAAGCTGTCGTGGCCATGTTTAAGATACCATTCCGGCAACTGCCTGGAGGAACTGAGCAAAGGCGGTTTAAGGACACGTATAGTTTTGTCGATTGGTATGTACATATCAGAGAAATGCATCGACACGTTGTACCTATTTTTTATAAAATTTCAGTGCCTCGAAAACTTATATTTTTACAAAATTATATTCACTTGACAAATTTTATTGCAAACTACCGATAAAAGTCTTGTGTCACGGATGAAGCTTGCAGACACAGTCTCTCTCTTCAGCTTCAATTTTACGTATTTTGTGCAAAGAACATACAATAAATTAATTTTGTAACATTACAAAGTACTCTCTCCAGGTTTTGCTCCGTCGCCATGTTTGCAGATAGTAACATACAGAAATTGTAGATGTCTCGATACAGCGTTCCACTGGTTACTGTCAACGAACCGAAACTAAATAAAGATTTCGCGCCTCTGTCATGCTGCTGTTTTACGCTCTGAAAAGAAAATAACCTCCCATCTTACAGTTCGCACGACCAGTGTTGATGACAAGAAAGAAGTCTGAAGGTGCGGTGACCTCGTATTTCATGATGCTCATACCTAGTTTCATGAAAATCTATCAGTTGGTTCAAAAGTTATTAGGGTGACAGTAATATAGACATCATGGTTCCGTTTATCTTCCCCAACAAAATAAGAGAAGTATTAATTACCAGTCAGGAAGTTCTGTGTCATTTTAATAGAATGGTTCTGGTGAAACTGTTTGGTGTGCACAAAGGAAGCTTGCTGTTCTAAGTTTAACTTACAGGGTCATTGACGTCTACTGTTGCACAACGGTTCTGTAGGCTTGCTCATTAGCTGAATATAGAATATATTCTGTGCACCAGTGAATTATGTTAAACATTAGCAAGGAGATTAGCAGTTGGTGGATTGTGATGGCAGCTAATATCAAACACAAATGAATACCACAATTTACGTAAATCGTTGAAGAGCACCTGATAGTTTTGAATATCTTAGTTGCAAAGAATCCTTTGATTAAACAGATACAGACTAAGAAATTTATCTCAATCTTAAAACTTTGCATACCGTGTAGTGTATTGGAATATAAAATAAGCAAACAAACACACTATTAACACTATAAAAAAGACACTAGTGCCATACGCGTTTCAACCTCAAGATCAGTGGCAACAGGGAAATTAATTCATTTAATCGAAATGGTTTAGAAAACAAATAATGAAGTAGAGTATTTTACAAAAGCATATCAGGCAACACTACACTAGATTCACAGGAGTTGAACTATAATTTATAATTTATCTCAATATCGTGGGTTCGAAACTAGCTTGGGCCATAAATGTTTGTCGGAATATCTCGATTTGTCATGTCAATTGTTGTCTTGAATTTGTAGATGCTTTCATCCAAGGAGGTCTTATAAGTGTCTGAAAGATCATTCAGTCGGTATGAATTCCCAGTCGGAGCAGATCTATAGATTAAGAAAAGTTAAGTTTCTGTCACATGCTGTCTGCTTGTTTATCAGCTGCCGAACTTTCTCGTTTCAGCTGACGGAGTGACGTACTCCTTCGGTGTGTTTTACTTGACTTTTCTGCACTACTTCAACGAAGGGAAGGGTACCACAGCATGGATCGCCTCCATCTTGGTAGGAGTTACCCTCTGCTCAGGTAAGTTACATCGAGCTGAACCTGGTCGATTTTGATATTTATTTTGCGAACTTGGGATTTAACAGGAGAATCACGTTGATTTCACATGCTGCATCGCCAACAGACAACAAATTCCGCGGAACAGAGTCATTGTAGTCGCTCAGCTAAGAAATTAATAATTTCTTGATAACCTGGAGGTTCATTAACCGTATTCATAACACCTCGCCACTGATCCCTTTCCTGGGTTAGATTAATCCACTCCACACAATTTAAGAACAGTTTAAATATTATCTTCCTGTCTTTGTGTAGGTCTCCAAAGCGGTATCTCCTAATCGGATTTTCCGATTAAAATGTAAAATACATTTTCGTTTCCCCGAGCGCATTACATGGTCCGCCCATGCCATTGTTCAAATCGGCCTAATATTTAGTCGAAAGTACAAATTACGAATAGGTCGACTAGCTGACGAGTTTGAAGCATGCTCTGTCAAATTAGTAGTGTCGCGAAATCCCCCCACGTCAACGAACTATAAGATTATACTCCTGTGACGTCTGCTTATGGAATTTAGGGTGGTGTATTGTGTCGTTGTGCCGACTCGCTGGCGCCACTTAATACACGTTCCGGAAATGTAGGCTGCTAATTTCCCCTCAGTAGGCTCATCCTTACAGCGTTCGTCGTATTGTTTTTGTCTGGTGAGTCTCCCATCCTCCATTTTGTGCCACACAGTTTGTATTTTATCTCCGCTTCTTACAGTCAGTGTCTACTGGTTTATTTATTTCAGCCAGTCAGTGCGTTCTTAAGGGAAAGGCTACAATTTCTTAGACCAGGGTCTCAGAATTTGGAGGTGAAATAAAACAATTTCAATGTCTCAGAAATCTGCCTGAATTAATTAACGAATTAATAGTTTTATTTTACATTTTAGTTAACAATTGCTTATGTAGTCATCAAGTAAAAAATTAATGCTGTCCCACTATATGCCATGTAGGCGCTTGGAGGGGGAGGCGTGGCTCTTACTCATTCTTAACCTTGGCATTATATAGGGGTGGTCAGCATGACGCCCGGGCCTCGCTTTACCCCCGGGAAAGAACCCCGGTACCCATTGGATAGGAGGGTTGGTGGGCCCCAGAACCGGTCTAGAGGAATAATCCTCTGCCGCTGTCGGGGATCGAAGCCCCGTTGTCCAGCCCGCATTTAGTCTTTATACTGACTGAGCTACCCCTGCTCTTGCTTGTATAATCTTTGCTCTCGTTAACTTTGAATAGTTTTCCTACTTTAAAATAGCCTGTTTAGTTTTGTCTATTGAATTTTTATTTGTTTTCTTAGCTGTTTGATTGTTCCAGTATTTCTGTTACCCCGGTCGTTCACCCTCTGAGTAGCATTGTACTGAAAACCGTGATTTTCTAAGAAATCAGCTAGACGGCAGCCTTAATAGCAATACAGACATTGTGTAAATGAGACGTGCTTCGTAAATAAGGGCCGCTGAAAGAAGTTAGGGTTAGTGGTCTTCAAATGCCTTATGACGGTTGTGAAGACAGTTATGAATTCTATTTCTGTCCGTGGGTTCACACGATTATGTATTTCTAGTATTTTCTGCTCTGGTTTGATTTATTTCCCACAATTCTCTTACCTTTATTTGGAATTCGATTCTTCTTTCAGGAATTGTTTCAAGCCTTTAAGTTCCATTTTCTACATTATAGTCCTCATTTGACTGCCATAAACTCGATAGAGTCCTCACAATTTCATAATTTTACATAAACGTTTCTACGTCTTCTGGGGGAACGCTTATGAATCTGTTTTCCGATGCGCAAGTGCGTGAATTCGTAAGTTGACATCTCCGCTACTTGGCAGATGCTCGCAAAGTTTGTTTTTTCAGAGGAACTGCAGAAACATTTACACTGGTTTTATTCTTCGAAACACAGAACACTGTCTGAAACACTTCCAGCTCTGACCTGTATTCAAGAGGTTCCCGGTTCATATCTCGGCTGGGACATGGTTCTATCCTGGCCAAGGACTTTTGTGGTTTTTCTCAGATCCTCCAAGCGAATGCTTGTATTACACATTGAAATAAGAAATGACCAGTTTCTCCTTTCACGTTCACAGAACGTGACTGTCCCTTCATCCAGTTTGCAGCTATATAACATCAGCAGTTGATTCAGTGTTGTCAAATATGCTTCGATCCTTCCTTCCGAATCCTACGGAACTCATGGCAACTGCGAATGCTCTAAGAGTTTTGCAACTCACTCGAATCTGTCTGAAGCTTTTAACTCGAAGTATAGGACAAAAATAGAATACTTCGCCGGAACACGTGGCAGGGACATTGCTCTTATTTAGTTGTTTTCTGCTTTCTTCGAACAGAAAGTTGAACAGATATGATCCACGAACAGGATGTGGCCTTGACCTTCGTGAGTATAATAACACAAATGCATGATTTTTGTACGTACCAGACGTGTAAAGGATTCATTATTTCAGAATCAATTATCTTTCGCAACAGACCAGGGCACTTAATCCGTGATAACCAAAGAAAAGAATACTGCACAAAGGAACTCTGCTAGGTCATTAATCTTAACGTGTTTTTTCGGTGGATTTCTCGTGGCTTCCACGTTTGGCCACTCTTGCTCTCATCTCCTGATCAGACAAAAATGTTGGCCCACTGTCGTGCGTGAATCATGCCGTCGTAAGTGAGCCAGCCACGTGGCTAAATACTTTACAAGAGGTCAGGCTTTGTCAGTGTGTGTCGGATGCCGCCTTATTGGGTGCAATTAGCAGTGCTTAAACTGCCTCATAAAACGCAAAGTTCGGTGGTCTAGTGGTTAGAGTACTAGTATAATATTAAAAACATCGCGGAGTCGATCCCATCCGTAGTCACTAATTCAAACAAGATAGGAAAAATGTACACTGACACTATAAACGCCACATCACATGTTGCACTGAAGTGTTGTTGCGTCTTGTACTAAAGTCATTCCATTCCACCTACACCTCTGACAGATTAACCACCCCCGCGAAAAACGCGATAGACTTAGGGAGAGATAAAGACGACTCATAACGTGTTATTAGCTCACAGTAGAGGGTGAAGGACACTGAGTTTGATGTTGCGAACAGAGCAATGACATCAAATATACATTAGACAGTAGGCAGTGTCCAACATATTAGTATAGCACTAATGGATAGGTCTTTAGAATTGATACTAGGCCGACCTTAATGCCACCAAATCGTTGGAAGTCTTGACTTCGATTCTCTGAATTTGCATTAGCATTTGACACTTTAAATATGTTATATTTTATAACAGATAAATCTGTTATTCTGATTTAGGCTGTACACGTGTTTGTTCAGCGTGTCTGGGAAACGGAATTGATGCTCTATTAAAATAGGCTACTACCACTTCCTTTCCACTTCATATATTTTCTATGTAAATAACACACAAACCCTCATTCTTTCACTGTCTGTGCCCCTCTCTAAACTAGTCTGAACAAACTTGTGAAGATAGAAATTCCAGCTTTTCTGTTCGGAATCAAACTCAGGCTTTCCAGGTCATATCTGGTCACTTTATTAACTAATCCCTAGTTTTCAAAGTTGACATTTTAAAAGAGGTTTCCATTTTGTAGCCACATACTCAACCTATCATAGCTTTTCAAATTCACTAACTATTTAACTCTCTGGTAGCAGAACTTGCAGGTCCAACACAAATTCACTACCCTAACTATACTATATACTTTGCAACTCATCAGACTCCCCGTTATCTAAATTAATAAGCTAAATTGTTCACTCATTCCATCATTCTTCAAATGCTTGCAATTTTCTGTTCTTCCCTTATACTAAAAAGAAAATGTTTCATACCAATATATATCTGGCTGATATATTGTCTTGCATATTCTTATTTTCAGTATATTTAAAAGCAGTGGGTTGATAAGAGTTTTAAAAATGAATAATAACAAGCATTTCTAGAGCTTATCTTATCATAATTTATTCACAAACCTTATTTCTGTTTGTTAGTGTCATTCCCAACGCATGAATTTTGTAACTTTCTCATGAGATTTATTACATAAAATTGTGTGACTTTGACTTTGTTGTTGATTCTTGTTTTGTATAAAGTTTATATATTTAGTTTTAGCTGTATTTATTTCTATACCAATTATTTTACTGATTTGTAGTAGAATTTCTGCTGGATTTGTTATGTTATTTATATTCTCCCCTAACAAATTAACATAATAAGCATAACAACATTTAGTTTCAGCCCTTTCTGACTCTCAGACCATCTTGATTAAGTATTCTAGGGAGAATTAAAATAGCAGGTCTAAAGGATGTCCATGTTTTATTCCATTGTGAACTGGAACAGGGGGATATAAATTTTTCATCTGTATGAAATTTGCTTGACATCCCAGAAAAATCTTAAATCAATGTATTTCTTCAATTTTAAGATATACTTTTTTCACATTTTCAGATTTCTGAAATTGGGGTGCATCATACATTTGATGGCATCTAAGAATTGGTATAGCATCTTTTTCCTGAAAACCTATTACTAAATCATACAATTGATGTCACCACAGAAAATCAAGGGAATATGGTAGTTTTGAGAAAAGGAGCAAGACAGGAAGAGTAGAAACAGAGTGCTCAACTGAATGTCTTACATATACTGCATAGTTGTAGTGTGGCCTGAATTTGACTCATACAAACACAGCTGTATCGCAACCAAGGAAAATGGTTATGCAACAAGAAACTGAATGCCAACCCCACCATTAGTCAGGCAATGACATTAGCACTGTCAAATAGATAACCACTTATCTCTGTCAGAATATATGCGTTTTGTACTGTTACACATTAAAGAGAAACTTTTGAGAATGGAAAAATCTTCAGAGATCTTCAGAATTTGTTACAGATAGGTTTTTAATGTAGAGAAAATTGAAAGCACTCATTGGACTTACTGAAGGAGTGCATTCTATGTTTAGACTAGGTGTGTGAACTAGTGATCGGAAGGAATCGTTTATGTTGTTGTGCAGGTCCGATCTCCAGTTCCTTCGTGAACAAGTATGGTTGCCGGGCAGTGACAATTGCAGGGTCATTGCTGGCCGCTGTCTCTCTCATGATCAGCGTCTTTGCTCAGAATGTCCTCACACTCTACTTAACCATTGGATTGGGAGCAGGTATGAGCAATGGCTTAAGTTATTTCACTTTGTATACATTGCTTGAGAACACATTGATATGGAGCCAGTACCTTCTCTTATCTGTGTATTTAGAATGTGGGTGTTTCAGAATGGGCTGATGGGAATATTTTGCTCTAAGATAAAGAAAGTTGTAGCTGAATGGCAGAAATAAACTGATGAGAAGCTTCATAGTTTGTACTCTTCAACAGATACAGAGTGGAACATGAAATGTTTACCCTTTTAAATCCTGCACAAAATCTGTATTTCTTACAAAAGTCTTGCATGTCACATACACACAAGCATGGAAAGTTGTTTCTAGTGCAGAACATGTTCAATATGACTCCCATCCTGCCTCATCACCTCTTCTAGGTGAACTTGTATGTTTGTGATCACGTTATGCAACAAGTCTTGTGAAAGTGTGTGGCGCAGCTGGATGATCTTAGCTCTGAGTTCAATTAATGGACCAGGTTTCCTTGAGTACAGTTTGTTCTTCATGAAGCCCCACAGGAAGAAATCACATGGATTAATGTCAGGGCTGTGGGGTGGCCAGACCTGTCCACAATCATGGTGTCCAGGAAAACGATGAGAAATCACTCTGGGGCCAAAGCTTTCATACAGAAAATCAAGGACCACATTAACTGTGTGTGGCCTGGCTCCATCTTGCATAAACCACTGGGTTTTGATCGACAATCCTGTTGCAATAAGTTGCGGTATAAAGCTGTTGCACAACATGCACAGGTAATGAACAGAGTTCACCGTGTCATCGAAATAGAATGACCTGAACATTCTTTGGCTTGATATGGCAACCCGTACAGTAATTTTGTCATCATAATTGTGTCTCTCGTGAAACTGATGTGAATATTCCGTAGCCCAGAATCAAATGTTTTGTTTGTTAACAGCTCCATCCATGTGCCACACACTTTCAGAAGACTTGTACCGTACAATGTACAAGTTCATCTAGAAGAGGTGATGAGGCAGAATGGGAATCATATTGAACATGTTCTGCTCTAAAAATAACTTTCCTTGCTTGTGTCCTTTAGTGTGTATGTGATATGCAATACTTTTGTAAGAAATATAGATTTTGTGCAGGATTTAAAAGGGTAAACATTTCGTGTGCCACTCTGTATTATTAGGATAATCAAATCATGGAGTGTGGGATTGGTAGGGCATGTAGCTTACATGGAAGAGATGAGAAATGTGTACAAAGTTTTTGTCAGGCATAGATGAAAATCTAACATTACAGTGGATCTTATAGAGATTGGGTATGGGCTGGATTCATCTGGCTTAGGTTATTGATCATTTGTGGGTATTTGATAACATGGCAGCAAACCTTTAGTGTCTATACAAGGTGGAGAATTTCTTGAGTAACGAAGTGACAGTCAGCCTTTCAAGAAGGTATCTGCTCTATGTAGTTAGTTACCTTTATACTTTAGCATAAGGCACTAAAATTTTTTATGTAAGGATTTATTTCCATGTAACTCAAATACAAACCTTTAAGTCCAACTTTTAATATGTGTAAATAATTTGACACTACTTTGTATTTATTATTTACACTTAATATTACAAACCTGAACACAATGGTTGAACTCATACACAATAATTTCCACTAGTAAAGGTGTTCAAAACTTAAATTCACTGAATTGATAAAACTCAAATTAAGTAGGTTAAATAATCGAAGATGCTGATGCAGCTTCAAGTCTGTTAAATAAGCAACTAACCCATAGAGCATAGTCCTTCTTGAAGTGGTAATAGCCACCAACTGACCAATAAATTCCTCTCCTTTCATGGAACCCAATCCTGAGCTAGATAAGTCAAGTCTGCATCCTCACACCACATTTATTTTATGTCCACTTTAATATTATTCTATCTACACCTAGGCCCCTCAAGTGGTCATTTTGCTTCTGGTTTTCTGCCTAAAACTGTGTGAGAATGCTACAAGGCAGACTGAACCATGATTATTCATCTGTTTCTTTACATGATCCATCTCTGACCTATTGAATGAATTTTGATTGAAGTTATAATGCTGGTGTATGCTAAAAGTTTCTTCTTACTGGTCAGTATAATACTTGCTTTACATTACAGTATTATAAAAAATGGTTCATGTAAAAATTGATATCTTAGTTTAAAAACATATCTAATTAAGATATACAATTCTTGTTTTAAACATTTTTTATTGTGGTGAACATTTAACTAAATTGAAGTAAAAATATTTATGACTGTGCAGTGTGATATGCATTGTATAGTTTGGCTGTGCCATAGCTCAGGTTGCAAGTCACTGGCTTTTTACTGTTGAAGCTAATGTTTGCACCCAAGGCAGTCCATGTGGAATTTGTGGTGGACAAAGTGGTACTGGGACAGGTTTTCTGAGTCCTTTGTTTCCTTCTATCAGTATTATTCCACTGCTACTCCATATTGAAACATGTCTTAGGTGGAGTCTGGACAAAGGGCCTGTTAGGAGCCCAGTTCCATAGACACAATCTGCCCCTTTTGCAACAGTAAGAATAGTTTAGATTTGTGGCAATGTTAACTTTATCAGCAATGAATGAATATCAAGACTAGTGAGGTATGCAGAAGTAAAAGAAATGCATGTGCTGGTATGTTGTTGGAGTAGTCCTTTCCACCATTCACAGTTATGTCATCAGATGATATAATACTGTAACGTAAAGTTATAGATACACATGCTTTGTAAGGCTTTCTCCTATGATGTGCCTTGCTGCAGAGAAGTGAAAGTCTCATCTCTCTGTAATGCAATGTAAACAGTATTTATTACTTCTTCTCATTTGTCCGAGTATAAACACCTTCACCAACTGGTTGTAAAAGCTTTAATAGGAACAAAATATACTCCATAAACTGCCTGAACTACCAACTTGTTTCATATGAAACTTTTTATTGCTTCCAAACATAATATATTTGTCCACTGTTTTATTATTAGATTCATTTCATAAACACTGTTTCAACTTTTATAATTTCGCCATTTGTGTCTGTCTCTTCATTCATCCATAATTCTACTGTATTGGCAGATTATGACTAAATTTTGTGAGTCCTTACCAAAATTATGGATTCATTTGAATTCATGCTGAACAATGTTTATGTACCTTCTATATGTTGGTGTATTTCAATAGGTATTGAAACATGTGGGATGAAAATTACTAATAAGATGAAAAATTTATGTGTTGTATATGTTCTTCATACAATGTGTCAATTTCAATATAACAGCTGTTATACACTAAAGTAGAATGAATTGGTTCATGATGTGGTTCTGTGGTGGACTTTTGTGATGATTGTAATGAACTTTTAGAAACCAGAGCTTGGCGGTTTCCTAATAATTTGAAACTGATGATTTTTACCCAGGTTTTGGCTTTGGTCTCATCTACCTGCCAGCCATTGTGAGTGTGACGTGTTACTTTGAGAAGTATCGTTCTCTGGCAACTGGAATTGCTGTTTGTGGTTCTGGGCTGGGAACCTTTTTATTTGCACCAATCTCAGAGTACCTTATCACGGAGTATGGATGGCGTGGAGCTTTGCTAATCATTGCAGCGGTTGTGCTCAACTGTATCATCTTGGGTGCGCTGTTCAGGCCCATACCAGATATTAGGGAGAGCAAGCCAGTCAGCAGGGCTGCCTCTTCCAGTGCAGTAGCACTTCATGGCAATGCTGCCACTACAAACTCAATGGATGAGAAAAACAGCTCTGAGCAGAACCTGCACCAAGTAATTTCCACGTCTGTTTCGAAAGGTGATGACAATGCCTTACACAGACCTCGCAGCATTGGACACTTCATGATGCCTTATTCTGGGAAGATGCAGGGCAGGTCAAATGCTGGGACCTCAGATGTTGCACGACTTGCTCTCAGCCAACCAATTTTACTCTCAACTTCAGCTTCAATGCCTGATCCTCATTTAAAGCCTACATTTGGGAGCCAGAGTCTCCGTAAATCCAGTGGCATCATGTACAGAAGGGACATCTTCTACCGTGGAAGTCTACACAACATTCCTTATCACAGGTACCTGCAATCTTAAGTATGGCAAGTTGGTGTTTTGTTCCTAATCTTCATTATCTGCAAGTGCCCCAAATTACCTATGATTTTATACATACACAGACTCAATATAGTATTTCATTTGGTCCATATGCTCAATTAACGCAAGGTTTTTTAATGTGCAATTTCTGTCAAGTGCTCAAAGTTGGGGGATCTTGTGGCATGAAGGTAAGATAGTGTAATCTCATTCAGAGAGTTCTCTGTTTGATTCCCAATTAGATCTGTTTGCAAAATTTTTAAAATATCTCTGTAAGAGATTAAATCTTTGGATGTGGTGAATATGAAGCCTCCAATGTGGTTCAGAGTCTGTATTAACCTTTGACTGACCATTTTATGATACTGTATCATTGGGAGTAATGGAATATGTTCTAAGGGTGCTTCAACATGAGAAATAGATTCTATGCCCTTGTCTGGGTGGGCAGAGGCCTGGCAGGTCATCTTAAACTATATGTTGAGGTACTAGATGTGAACAAACTCTGTCCTCAAAGCTAATCTGTTGAAAGTTTTCTCATATCTATGATAATTTCAATATTTATAATTAAAATTAAATATGAATATTACATCTGCTGTCTGTAATAGAACATTATATCAACTAAAAATTTGTTTTCCAATATTTGTTTTTAAAGTAACACAAATAACATATCTCTGTCTTTGCTAGTGGGATAATTCAATTTTGTCACACAGCCATGCACAGAAAATACATTCTGGTCATATCTTAGGGTAAAATCATGATGATGAAGACAGCTGAAGGTGTTACAGAGTTCTGATTTTTGAAACAAGTTAAAAGAACATTAGATTCAGGGATTGCTTGCTATCATTTAGTGAACATAACTATCTCCATCTTCAGGGCTGAAGGGCAATATATTTTTAGAAAATAAAAGTACCCACCTAGAAGGCTGCCAGAAACGTATTCACCACCATGAGAACCTCAGATCTAAAAAGTGTGAATTGTGAAAGCAAAGCATGAAGAAAATATTTGGTGCTGAGAGAGGTGATATGAGAGTGGAATAAGAAATATTTATTAATAGAGACATTTGTGACTATATTCTGCTGGCATTGTTACAGGATAAAATGTAGGAAATCACTGCTTGCTGGGCAGAAGAAAATTTGTACCATATGAAATTTTAGTTTGGTAATCTCTTGATAGACCAAAACAGTAATTATATATATATTGAAGTGGTGGTATTTGTTGGTGGACTTTTGTGTTGATAGCACTGAAGGACTGGATTTTAAAAAAAGGAGTGTTAATTTTTATGATAGTAGGCAAACATGATTTGTCAATTGTAGTCCATATCTGTTTATGCCATTTGTAACCAAGATAATTTTATGTTCTGTGAAACCAAATGTCAGCCTTCTTACAGGTTTCCAAAGTAAGATTTAAATTCAGATAATATATAAAACATGGGACTTGGTTATTATGCATTTATCAGCTTCAGTTTATTTTGCCCCGGTTACTTTTTTGTCTCCAATTTCTTTATTCTTCTGTTCAATTTTCTCCATTTCTATCTTATTTTTCTCATGGAGGAGGAAGAGGGGAAGAAGCTGTACTTGGCCAGGCCATGGAAACTTCAGAGTCTTGGGTTTGAGGCCTGGAGGCAACACATTCTTTAAGCAGGGGCCAATGGTTGTTTCTTATTCCTCAAATAAGGTTGAATGCCACATGGTGAGGCTTGGGTAAGCCATAGTTGGCATGCCAAGTGTGTAGAATGCATTTTACCTAGCATGATCCCACCAGCCTTGTCTTCTGGGTATCATAAATCAGAGGCATCTAATTTACTGCCCTTACTTATGTTGTTAATGAAAGTTTCTGTTTCAGGATTCACATTTTTCATAATGCATTATATAGTTCTAACACACATACTGTGAGTATATAGCTAGTTTTATGTCAGATGAAAACATTAAATTCTCAGGGTGAACAAGATACATACAATACAGATTTATTAGTGACCTGTATGCTGTGGCATTCTTATAATGGAAGATGTATAATAGTTGTTATAATCATGTTGTTGTATTGATATCATTATTCTAATATAATGCATTCACATTTTAAATGAATATTATGATCTGAATATCTCTAAGTCTTCTTGGGCTGCTCTGTAATAATTGTCATCATATCATATAATGGAAAACTTAATTTTCAGTGCATATGATGTAACACATGTAAAAGAAAAATCCATGCAGAAGTTGCAGATACATTGTATTTGAATGAAGGTATCATACTTCTGTAGTTGGATTTTTGAATTATGTAAATTTAAGGATGTATATGAAGGAGATGCAGTCAAATGTTATCATAAATTACACCCTGGATCTAAATATCTCTTTCTCAGCTTTCCTCCTCCTCCTGTCTTCATCATCATCTGTCAGCTTGTAAGTAAGCATTACTAAATTGTTGCTGACAACTATTTAATATGAAAATTCTTACTTTTGCAGGTCTAACGTATGGCTACAACAGGATATAAAACATGGGGAAGAGTCTCATCAGCTGATGGAGCTGAAGGGCTCAAAACAAAGGCAAGATGATGATGACAGAATGACAATATGTGGCTGCTCAAAGGAGACAAGAGATACACTCACAGAAATGTTGGACTTCTCCCTCCTCAAGGACCCCATATTTATTCTCTTTACTATCTCAAACTTCTGCACTAGTGTGGGATTCAACATACCTTATGTATATTTAGTGGTTAGTACTCATTCATTAACTGAATCCATGGATTTTTTTGTTTTCTTATTTTATGATGATATTCACAGGGACCAAATTCTCATTTATAGCACCCAAAACTTGATGTGGATAGTATAACATTTTGAGGCCACTAATTTTGATACTTTTTAACTAATGGATCTATTAATTTGTGGGGTCATCAAGTTTGGTAAGACAATAGAGGTGTTAAATATACCAAACTTGTATTAACATAATGGTTTTATATTTACACTTGATGACTTTACAGAATATTTTGTATAATAATATAACTGAGTCAGTAGTGACTGACTGACTGTGGAGTGAATGATCAGGGTCCAGTTCCTGTAGGTCCAACAGGACTTTCATCTTTACAACTATATGGAGCCCAACAAGCCTTCTACTGTAGCTCTTTCCCCAGCTGTAAAGGTGTTCAGACTGTGGATCTAACCACTCGCCTCCATCCGATGATGAGATAGGAATGTATGAAAATAAACTTCCATGTCTCCTACACATGTTCAAGGCCACAAGGAAAACTTTACCTTTGCCTTTCAAAAATGGAAATTGGCTGTACGCAGTCATGTGTAATGTAGGTGTGATTGCATATATTAGTTTCTGTACTGAGACTTTCTAAGAAATTATTCCTTAGGAAAGTTAAGATGATATGACACTTAAGATAGATGATTCATCTACTGGAGGTGTTTGACTTTGCTTCGGACATGTTACATAGTTCTTTCAACAACTTATGGCTGTGAGCAAAAATATCTTACTTTATGAGTAATATTTTCTCGTGTTTTAGGCACAGGCTGAAGAGCGAGGTATCTCAACAGACAAAGCCAGTTTACTCTTGGCAGTAATAGGTATTGCCAATCTTATAGGCAGAATTATTCTAGGTTATGTGTCTGACAAACCATGGATAAATCGACTGATGGTCTACAATGTGTGCCTTACCATCTGTGGCGTGGGTAAGTAGGAAGACACATTTTGTTATTTGTTGAGATTATGGTCTGTTAAGGGTTTAAACTAGCATTATACTTTGAGTGACAGTGGAAAGAATGAAATCCAGGTTTAATTGGTTCTGAAGCAGGATGTTGATCTTATAACTAATGATTTTAAATTTATATAATGCGACCAAAAGTATATAAGAAAGATATAAAAATTGTTTGTATTTACACTAAGCTCTGTATATGCAAACTTGCAAAAAGAAGTCAGAGTGAGGTACAGTATGCTGATGTTAGGGATGTTTCTAAGAATGAAAATTGCAAATATATCAAATATGAAAACTGAAGATGTGTAGTTTAGAACTGTGACAAAACCATCATTGATGATGGACTGCTGTGGTGACTGACAAATGACTTGATAACACAGCCACCACTTCAGAGTTCTAAGCTACTGTCATTCTGTAAATTTGTATTTATTTGTGTCTCTAGAATTATGCTTAATGATGAGGTGGGGGAATGTCTGAAGTAGTGTAACTAATCGTTGCCAAAGATTTTAAATAACTTGAGGACAGAGAAGATGAAGGTTTAAATCCACAAGCTGAATTAACATGTCTGTAACTTCTGAAGTTTACAATTTAAGTAATATTTTGTTAAAATTTTGTAGTTAAATCCTGTAATGTGTGCAGAATACAAGGCTGTGTTGTACATTACCTTAATAATTTGACTTAATGTGGTAGTCCTTTAGCACTGAAAACAGATCCCAGTAGTACAATATAAATTTCATCAGTTGTTGCTGGTGTCCCTGACCATGTTAAAGATTCGCTTTGGGCAGCTCCACAATTCCTGCAGTTTTGTGTTTTGTTCTACATAATAATTAGCCTCAGTTACTATATATCTCAAAATTCATGACTGAAAAATTGTTTGAAAATGTTCAGTATGACATTTGTGTCCTTAGCTACACACAGTGGTTCAAATGCAGGCTCCTGTACAGTAATCTGACTGGTCTTCCCATTCTGTATGTCTATCTCATCATCATTTTCTTTCTTTCTTTCTCTTTTACCCTCTTTTACCCGTAGGTGTCAAGGTTTTTGTTTTATTCAATTGATCTATTTGGTCAATGGTAGGACCCCTTGGATAAGTTATCATCCCAACGCAAGGCCTCTACCTATACAAACACAGAAAGACGCGGACAAACATCCATACCTTGAGTGGGACTCAAACCCACGGTCGCAGCAGTCAGGCGCACGAGAATCATGCCTCATCATTATCACCATTTATTAATGTGGCAGCACATAATTATTTACAAAATTTTCACTGTCACTGTCTGAAATAAATGTCTTATTTTCAATTATTTGATTTTAAACTTTTATCTAGCTGATCTATTACTCATCATAGTGACTACTACATCATTTAACTCCTAAGTAACATATGGATTATTAATGTATCTTCTAGACAATCTGTCATTCAGTAGGCATATGAAAACAACCATCCTTAATTAAATGTTATTCTCTTTTGTAATGAGAAATTATCAGGCCAAGCCTATAATGAAATTTTTATTTTATTATTGTGGTGGGGCAATTCCATATCTCAGTGGAGCTGGGCATCTAATTGATTACAGATGTGACATATATTGTCTTGGTTCCATTCAGCTTTAAAAAACTAAAATACACATTTCACATGATACAGTATCTGATGGAAAGAGAGAAAATGACAGGTTAATTTTCTGTACTGTAATCAGTAATTATGAAAATGGAAGAGAAAGCTGTATGTCTCTTGGTGCTGAGTGGTTTAAGGATTTACAGATCCTTAGTTGAAGGATTTCAAATGATGGCAATGTTATTCACCAAAGCACTCTAAACTAACAGTGACACATGAAGATAATGTTGTATAGGTCTGTTAGAATATTTTGTGCATAGCAACTGACTATAATGCTATTATATATTAATGTATGATGACTAGTGTTTATAAATTCTATACACCTGAAACCCTTTTATTAACATACTTGAAACCATGCAGTTTGAGTATAATTATCATATTAATTCTCTGGATAGTATAAGAGCACCAATTTATGTAAAAATCATTGACATGAATTGATATATGATGATCTATTGTCATATAACTATTTCCATGCATGAATGTGTATGTGTGAAAATGTGAAATTATGCATACACACATGCACAAACATGAAATACATTTTTATGTTCTATTTCATAATTTATGAACATTACCTTTTTCATGTTTTTTTTAATTCCTTGTGTGTTTGTTGGAAGTGTTCATATTCTTTAAAGGAAAATGTATGTTACTAACATATATCTAGTCAGTATGAGCTGAAGCTTTCACGGCAACTAAGTATAATGAATTCTTCTCGGGCTACCAGCCATAAAAGCCGGTTTAATGGAGAAAACACCAACATTTCGAGAACCAACTGCAGTATCCTGAGGAGGAGGATGAAGATGGTGTTTTCTCCATTAAACCACCTTACATGGCTGGTTGCCCGAGAAGAATTTATTATATATCTAATTGGTATTTATATGGATAAAATTTTTGCTGTAAATAACATGACTTTATTTCTTTGTTCAGCAACCGCATTCAGTGCCTTGTGTTATGAATTCTATTCATTCGTTATTTATGCATCTATATATGGGTTCACCATTGGAGCTTATGTGGGGTTAACTTCAGTCATTCTGGTGGATCTTCTTGGACTTGATCGCCTCACCAACGCATTTGGATTGCTTCTGCTCTTTCAAGGAATTGCATCTTTTCTTGGTCCTCCTGTAGCAGGTATAGCCAATAGCGCACTCACAATAAAGTTGAGCACAGCTGTCACTTCCCAGCTCCTGGCAAGAAATGCATGACTGACAAGTGCTACAATTTCTTTCCAATATGAATCAAGTATCGCTCGATAAAAGTAATATAAACAACTTGCCTCAATGTGTGGCTGATGGTTGTGTAGTACAGGATTTTAAATCCCTATTTTCATATGATCCAGGTTAATGTGTAAAAAATAGCTTGCTGAAGAGGATTAAATACTCTGATTTTATTTGTAGTAGCCTTTATACTGTTGTTTTTGACTGTAAACATTTAAATATTAATTGAAAGTTGCAATGCATATTTAATGTTTTTATGTGCACATAAAGGTCTATAATGTGATAAAATACAGTTGTAAAAGTTAATGTTTTCCATAATTCTGACAACAAGACTCTGGTATGTTGTAGTGAATGTTTTGAATGGTCAGAAGTCACTTTTGATTTTGATTGTTTGAGAATGACTCAATTTTGTGAACTTAAAGCAACTTTTATATAAGAATTAAATATCCAAGTTTTATTAACAGTTCCAATAATTTTCATGACAAATTAATTTAATTTTTTGAAATATAATACATGCATCTCGGGAGAGTTGAATTTGTGTTTTCCCGTTATAGGCTGGCTTTATGATGCTCTCCAATCATATAACCCTGGATTTTATGTGGCTGGCATCACAATTGCTGCAAGTGGGATTATGCTCTTTTGCATTCCGTCATTACAGAGGTATGTGATGCAAAGGAGGAACAGCAAATCAAGCCAAAAATTAGCTGTCCACCAAAATGGAAGTATAGCACATTCAGCAGCATAACAGTTCAACTGGAACCCTTGTGCTGTATGAGTTCACTAAACATTGAGAAAGTTTTTCGAGGTGAAAGAAGAGTTTTAGTGAGGGGTAAATTTGGTGCAGATATAAATTCAGACAAAATAAAATTGCCATGGAAGTTGTTTAGAGATTATCTTGCAAGGAACATGTCAAAAAGCATGCAGACATTTTTAACTCCTGGTGCTAAATAAAGCAAATAGACTGCCTTTCGAAATAATAATTATTTTATTATTTTGTTTTGTACAATAGCATAAATATAGATTTTTGTTTTTTTGAGTACCAGAAATATCATGTGAAGTGCGTATAGGATAGTGTGTGTTCATGAGTTTTGTGATCAGGTATGTGTATTTTGTCTCCTGTGTCTGTGATGTTATCTACAGTTATTTCTTTAATATTTGCAAGGAGGGAATGGCTCAGTCATATAATTTTGGAAATATTAAATTTCAACTGTGCAACTAATTCATAATATTTTTTTATATATATATATTTGGATATGAAGGATGTCTGGGACATCAATATGACAATACATACTGAATGTACTTCTAATTGTTATTTTTAATTGTGCACTGTTATTCTTATTTACACAGTTCTTAGTAAATTAGTACTTCATTTTGGTTATATTTGAATGTGTCTGATTTCCTCCTTCATAAAATGGCAAGTCAATTTATAAATTGCAAACAGTGATGAAACTTGTTTTGAAGCTGTTGCATCTGTATTGAACACAAAGAAAAGCACTGTATAATATTACTTTTTATCATGTGTACTTTGCATGATGTGCTTAACCCGTTAACCTTTGACTTACGTTTCATTGTGGGAACATAAGTTAAGTTCTTGTTGGGAACGTAAACTCCGGCAACACTGGAAAGAGACTTGGCTACTTCTTTTACACTGATTGAGGACTGCATTCAATGAAAGAGCGTTGTCTAGGGTTTTGACAAAGGTCAGCTTGAGCTGTCAACCCTGAAACTGTAAACATAAACAGCGTACATTGTTTATGTCCAGTGGGTTTCGGCTTCATTTTCAGGCACCCCAGTTCAAAGCTCTTACATTCCTCGACAAGATTGGCGAATAAAAATACGTATGCACTAAAACAGAGGGAAACAAAATTTTGTCTGTGGCCAATAGTTCACAACCGTGGCTTCTACCAAGCCTTCAAAAAAAAGAAAGAAAAGTTACTAAAGCCAGAAGTTATTTTAGACACTGTCAGTGACGAATCAGAAGATGACGGCAATTAAACAGCGGACGGGGAAAAGGATTATAAAAGTGATGAATCAGATCAGTCGTTGCATAGACCACCAGGTTGACCAGCAAATGTTGCCAATAAAAGTCACTAGATGAAATAAGCACTGGCCTGTTTCATCTAATCGACTGCGATGTCACGTGTTCAGCTCGGTGAGAATCGAGAAGTCAGTGTGAAGTGTCAGCAATGGAAGGTGGGTTTACGTCTGGACAAAAACTGCTTTTGCGGATATCACACCAATACACAGTTATAAAAGTGTTTCAAGTGCAAAACCCTTCGCCAATGATGCCTCCAACCAAGATGTAAGTAAAAGAAACACGAAATTTAGAAACATAGATATTAATATGTATTTATGCAAGTAAGATATGACGGTTTTTCAAACGACTCTGCGTAATCTGTTATATTCGCATAAAAATGGCGTTTATTTCGTCACTTTATCATTCTTATTGTAGATAATATTAAAGTTTTTGGTAGAAGAATTTAAATGCACGCAAAAAGAAAAATTCCGTAGGGCTGCCACCACTATGCCACTTAAATTCCCGTCCGTTAAAGGTAAAGCCAAATGGTAACTATATGTACCAGTCAGTAATGCATTTTTTATTTATGTATTTTCTATGATTGTCACTGTAAACAGTGATTATTTCCATGAAGAGAGTTAAACAAGTTTAATGGATGGGTTGTGTGTTCTCTTTGCAGTACAGACTGAATTATTAAATGTTATTTAGATGAATGTTGGCTTTAAAGGGTTGAATGATTGCATATGTGATTGACTGTTCTTCTGTCTGCATGATATAACTGGACAGATATTGATGAAATCTGATATAAACGTTATGTCATGGAGGCCATGAAAAGTCATACCCATTCATTTTGTATAATCGATAAGAACAACAGAATGGATAGAATCTTATGGGGTGGTAGCGGTACTAGGACCACAAAAGAGGTTCCTGAAATCATTAAAATATGCTTATGAAAGTTTGCTTGGCACCTATGAACAAACAGATGTTAACATTTTTTTAATTTTTAGGATATTTTGATATTGCTGATGGGAACATTTGTTTTCTGGGAGAATATATGCAGCAACCAGCTTGAGGGGTTGGAGTACTGAGTAAAATTACTGAATTTCTGTTCATATTTTGTTGTTGAAGAGAAGATGTATATTGATATTAAAAATAATAATAAGATATCCATTAATTTGAGTGGGATTTGAACAGACAGTCCCACTGTCCAAGTGCATGAGGCTTATGCCTCAGACCATGTGGCCACTGCGACCAGCAAATGCCAGCATAATACCTTAAAATTAGGCCATATCCTTTCCAATTAATTACTCACTGTCATCCTCTCATCTGGGAGTTTAGATACTGAAAGTGTCATTAAATCAACTATAAATACATAAAAATAAGATACAGTGAAATGTATTTATAGAAGGATAGGTACAAAATAATATCACAGATTTTGTGACCTTAAATACAGATTCATATTGCATCTATGTTTTACTTGATTAGTGAATAACATTGCATAGCAGATAACTAAGTCATGAAATAAAATTTGGTAGCGTGCAGAGACTTTAGATCTCACTGAACTAGCTGTGGTGACTTTGACTATAACAAAATTAAATGTCACATACTAAACCTTGTGCATTAAAATAAAATGTATAAATAAACTAGTCAAGGGTATATCGAATTAAATGTCAAATGGAAACAAAGCTGTCGGGATTGTCACTAAATTTTCCAAAAGGACCATGCAGGACAATACAGACAACAGCTTCAAATTCTGTATGTTGTGTGTGTGTGTGTGCACGCGTGCGTGTGTATATCATATATATGTGTGTTTGTGTTTATAGAAGCATGACTGGAACTGTGTAACAGGACTTTTACAAAAAAAAGGTAGTTAAATATAAAGAAACAGGCCTGTTATTTTATTAAATATGAATATCTTGGATTTAATGATTCATTTTTACTTAATCTACTGAACTGCTGATTTTGTCCGCTCATACAGTCCATTTAACTGATTATATCCTGTAGCATCCTACTCCTTAAATATATACTATAATGATGACAATTATTTTTCATTAGTTCTTATTTTAATAGGCAGAGAAAAAACAATTTTCAGACATGTGTTTGGCAAAAATTTCAGCTCAGTTTTTGATGGAATCTATGGAACAAGCCTTGCTGATTGCTAAGTTCAGATTATGGGCTGCAAAGTGAAATTAAACTGAAAGTGGGTGCCATATCTCTCAAGGCAGTCTAAGTCTCCTCCAAACCTTGACCTGTAACATTTATTAATGGTTCAAATTATATGAAGTACTCCTTTTTTTCTTGAAAATGTACCAAATACTGGCACTAAATTGTTCCACTAAAAATGTGTCTGATGTTTCCTTAGCTAATAAGCATACAGAAGAATATCAGTATTTACCAAAACTGCAAGTTTATTTACGGCAATTGAATTATGCTACACTAGATACTACAGTATTTTTATTTTTAATTTTTGGTAACAGGGCATTTCTGGGTCCATTCTGTAAGTGTTTTGGTGAAATCTCTAATATGAAAACACAGCAGAGAATGGCAATTACCATCATTATCTTAAGGTTACTTCAGAACATTCCGAGATCCAATACCTCTCTGTTGCCAGAGGAGACACTGACCAAAAATCCCTTTTTCTAAACTAACGGAATATTTTCATTACTAAAAGCAGTGGGGAGGAGGAGAGTGGATACCTAATCCCCTCCATTATGACACTGCATGTGTAAACAAACCAATTTATAGTTTTATTACGTACTTTGTCATTGAGGAACTGCCAGAATCATATGAAAGAAAAATTTGATGGTGTTGCACAAAAAATTATTTGATTTTTACAATATTGTGATTTTTTAAGAATAATTTGCTTGTTATGCAAGCCATCCATCCATTGTTAGCCATCCACCAGTTAGTTTAAATTGTTATTTTAATTTTTCACCAAAATCATTGGAAGTAAATAATTATGATAGGAAAATAAAGTTTCCTGAACTGAAGTCCCTGAAAAGGATTATGATCTTCTATAGAAAGGAAAACTGAAATATTCTGATTTTTAGAATTGGGTAAGAATTAATTAGCTTAGGTAGTTGTAGTTAAGAATCCTAATTTCAACATTGCATATAATTCATTACAACCCTTCCCTCTGATTAAACAGACTTCATACAGAGACCAAACTTTCACAGATAAAGAAATTTTTGTAATTTTCGTAGATACATAACATTTGACATACAAAAGAAGAAATCGGGCAGTTCTTACGGATAAGGCCGATCTGTTAAAAGTGAATGAAAAATAACGAAAGTATTCCATAAGCCAGAATCAATTTTCGAATAAATAAATCTGCCATCAATTGAGTATCGTAAAATTGTCACACCGAAAAACACTACTTAATGGTTAGCAACTGGCTTTGTATTTGTGAGGTTCTCTAATCGAACCTTGGTCGAGAGACTTTTGGTGAATATTCTCAGTACCTGATGGCATATGTACTACCTAAATACAATTGGAGTTCTTATTGAGTAGCTGATAGTGACTGGCCAAGAAATGTCCTTTCTTCAGATATTTTATTACTCTATTTACAACTGCCCACCATTGATTCCTACCGTGAACAAGTTGAATCTGATCTACATACTATTTTATAAATTTTAATATTATCTTTTTATGTAGGTCTTTTAACTGTTCTACCCCCTTCAGGTCTTCTTGCTTTCAGTAATATAATACAGTTCGTTTTCATTGTGCAATATATTTAATGCCCCACTTTATGTAGTTTTTATATTTCTGTTCATAAATGAATACGAAGCACAATTCTATACACCGTGACACTTCGGCTCGGTATATTTAAAGTAGGCAAGAAGTGTGCGTGTTCTTATACCCCATTCACCTTGTAGTTCTTTTTAATAAACAAACTCTTAGCTTTTGTAGCAAAAGAAATGACAACTTATTTGAGCATCCGTATATTACCAGCACACAACGCGCTGAGATCTAGTTTCGCAGCTGAACAAAAACTGATTAGTATGGAAATTGGAACTTTAGAACAAGGCACAAAACTGACGCTGACTATTAAAACAAATCGTGTGGTAATAGTAAATGGTTGTTACCCGGTACAAGCTACATGGAGCAAGGCTGCATCAGCATAACAAATATTATTAAATATGCAATGGAAGTCATTTGCATAACATAATACAGAGTGTGTCGGAAATATGGGTCATAAATTCTAGGGCGGATTCTATAGAAAAAGAGATATAATTCTGCTTCTGTATATATCTTGAGACGAAAAAGTTGGGACCCACAGTGCTCAGGCACTTGATGAACGGGTCGTTCCCAGTATCCCAGTATATATCTTGAGGGTTTTTAAATTAACTCAATGAGACATTCATTAAATTAAAACAATAGCATTTAAATAATACGCCAGATACTCGCCGTTTGAATGTTATATTCTTAAAAACCACGATACGCGAAGTTCAGGAAGTTTGTGAAAAATAGGGTTAAAGGAACCAAACACACACGAAACATTATACTTAACATGTTTAATGATTAATAAACAGGAAATAAATATGTGTTGGTATAACATTCGGTTTTTCTGGCTAAAATGTGTCAGGCTGGTCTAACACGAAGACAACAGTCAGTTCTGAAAGTTGCAAAACGATCAATCGAAACACACTCCTCGTGGTACAGACAGGCGGGCAATTGTGGGCTGTTGTGTATTACCCCGTGCGTCTGCGCATGAGCGACCGCTAAGGAGCGAGGGACCTACGCCGCGATACACAAATATTATAACAATTTTTCCGCGAATAAAAAAAGCGATTTGCAAACCCACGAACGAGAAGGGTCTGCTGTATTCCTTGTAGGAAATGTTAAATGTCATTGCCATTCATTTTTACACACGCCTTTGCTTGTCTTGTGAGGGACTGACACGTGTGCTAGAGAATTGCTAGTCTTGTTGTACTTTAGAGCAGATTTATGTTTATTTACATCAAATCCAACGTCTTCTGTGTCCGCATGGAAGCAAAATCAGACCCATATTTATCTTCGCTACGAAATACGACGCATATTTATGACAACCCTAAAAATCTGTGCAGTAATAAGTGGTAGACTAATATAACAGTTTGATTTAAATCGTCTCCCTGGTACGGTTATTAAATATTAACTTAAATTAATCACATAAAACTGGTAGTTTCTGTTCTCATAAACTGTAGGTTATGAAGTTTCTTACACCTAAGTGATGAGCCAGGATTGTGATAATTTTGGTGATAAACGACTCAAATATCTATTTAAAACCCAGGGTTATGGCTCCAGATACGTAGGCTTATACCTAAGTCGGCTAGTGTAGTCACGGACCACAGAAAATACAGTAGGACATAACTAATTTCTACCACTGTGACAATAAGCATAAAGTAAGATTTTATTAAAGAGTGGGCGGAGTGAGCTAGCAGTTCACCTTTAGCTGCAGTAAAAACAAAGACGAAAGAATAAGAGGATAAAATGTAATATTTTTTGTACTTCATGTAGTCGATAGGTATCGAAACATTTATCACCTTGAATTATGGCAAACCGAACAACCGCTATCTCGAGAAAAATATTCGTATACTTTCTGTACATTCTTACATTATAGGAAGTACGGTGGAAGTATTGCTGATTATACTGGATACTGGGAACGACCCGTTCTTCAAGTGCCTGAGCACTGCGGGTCCCAACTTTTTGTGGGTTTATCTATAGACATTTGGTAGGACTCCTTGGACGAGGGATTGACCCGTCGCAAGGCAGACACAGGACAGCACAACACAGAAAAACGCGGACAAACATCCATGGCTTGAGTGGGATTCGAACCCACGGTCCCAGTGACTAAGCGGCACAAGGCCCACGCCTCAGACTGAGCGGCCACTGATTATACATGGGTTTAAAATACGTATCGTAACCTTTGGATGCAGAACTGTGTCTACATCCATACACCTTCTCCCAAGTAATAAATTCTACTTACAGAGAATAGGTTTCGTACATCCTAGTTATCAGCTTTCCACTGAATACGACTGCATAGAATTAAGAAAGAGATGGAAAAATGTGTTCGTAGGAGTACACATAAATTTCAAAGGCCCGTATTTGAGTAGGGACGTTCTATTATAAATGTAATTGATGCAGACGTAAAGTTAGTCGAGGGAAATAAATGCAATTCATAACTCTCATACTAACACTTTACATTACCAGTGAAAATATATTTTTCAAAATATTCTCTTTGATGTCGCACTAAAAAATCTCATTCTGAGCTTACTATACAATTGAGGCTAAAATTAAAAAAAAAATTAAGCCATGGCTACTTCCTTAATTTAAAATTCTGTAAGTTCAGTCCCTTTGGCTCACACAGAGTGATATTATTGCAATTCGACAAATTCATAAGATGCGTCACTGAGATCATGTTAGACACAAAACACTATTTTAAACAAAGATTTATCAAAAATTGTCACACTAAGATTTGTTTTTTTACAAAACTTTTATTACAAAAATGGAGCTAGGTTGGTTTTACAATGTATGATATGACTGAGTGTAACAAATTCTTCTCGGGCTACCAGCCGTGTAAGGTGGCTTAATGAAGAAAACACCAACGTTTCAAAAACCATCTTCGTCCTCGTACGTCAGAATTTATTAGGTTTTACAATATTTACGTAATGCCAGATTTCAGGTTCCGACAGCGGTGAAGGTGTCAATGTTGGTCTTCTGGGTTTAACGTCGTGTGTCTTGTAGCTAAATACAAACGGACTGAATATGAAGCCAGTGTTTTTTTTCTCGAAACTTTGATATCAGCCTACAAGACCACATTGCGTTACAACCCAGAAGACCAAAATGGATAGCTAAGTAACTAACACTATGTTAATAGAACCTGAAAGTTCAACACTTAATAACAAATTTCTCCATTGGATATGATCCATAGTCAGTATCTGTAAATT